AAAATTGTTAGTTTTCTTTACATCACACATCGATAAAAAACGCATAATAAAATAAGGTTTTGCATTATAAATATATCCCATATCGGTGAAAAATATTTAAGAAAATAAATTTTTGCACTATAAAACATGTGAAACTCAATAAAACTTGAGATTAGTTTGGGTCTGATTAATTTTAATTGGACTTGATTAATTTTAATCAAAATTTATTAGTATTGAAATAATAATCTTTTTTATTAAACTTTTGTAATAAATTTATATATTATTTTTTTTGTGACAAAATTTTTGTTACAATATTATGTTGTAATTATATAAATATCTTTTTTATTTAATATCAATTTTAATAATTAATGACTAAATTTTTCATCACAATTGCATTTGTGACTATTTTTTTGTCACTCAATTGTAACATTTATGATGAAAATTATTGTAACAAAAATATTTTTTTGTTACGAATAAAATTATTATATATAATTTGTTAACAATATTAATTTTTTCTATCACTAGAAGATTATTTTATGTGACAAGTGCTTAATTTGTCACTAAAAGCATTAGTGACAAGGGTGACAAGGGTTTTATTAACAGTTTAAATTTTATCACTAATAATAATTTGTGACGAAAAATAAAAATTTAATTATCAATAATTTAGTCACTAAATATGAATTTTCTTATAGTGTTTTTTTCTCAACCAATATAAAAGACATTTGGTAAATCAATTATCGTAAACAAGTAAATTTTAGATGCACTTATGATAAACTTGAAAGGAGTATTTTCACTTATATTAGATATAAACTTGAACTTCCACTGAATGGATGAAGTGAGAAATTCTCATCAAAACACTAAATAAAGAATTTTTCCTTCACTAATACACTAATTACCAGCATACTAAAATACTAAATTAAAGATTTTAAATTCAAATTTTCATTTGAAGCACCGACAATCTCTGGTCTTAGAAGCTTCATCATTCAGTTTAGACACGCCTGCGCAGCAAGGACAGCTTGGGAATGGCGAACCACAGGTCAAGAAAGGCTAGCATTGCAAGGCATCAATGTGGTTATGGCGTCTGAACATGATATGGCATGCCCACAGCAGCTACCCACCATGGCCAAAATGATTCCTAGCCCAAGAATCCATAAAAAGCGACCTACGACCCATCATTTTCCTCTCCATTTTTGTTCTCTCAAACTATTGCTACATGCCAGAAATTATAATGATTTGACTACCTCTTAATGAGATGGTACCTTTAAGTGAAATATATAATGTTAATGATGTAAGCGTGCCCCTTTAAATAAAAATGAACTTTTATAATCTCTATTTTTAAAATACAAGCTAAAAATATTTTTTTGTTATTAATAAAAAAAATGATAAGTTTTATTATAAATAGATATAAAAAAACATAAAAATTATATTAATTTTAATATTATTACTAAATAAATGAATTTAATTAAATAATTAATAAATTAAAAATTAACAATGAGGTTGATTTCTTTGATAACCTCTCTAGAGATATACTTCCATAATTGCTAATGATTGATTCATGGCAAATTTAGTAACTTAATAACATGGGCTAATTTCTAATTGAAATTCAATCCATAGATTAAGATAAGATGAATATCAATTGGAAAATGATTAATGGTTACTATATATTAAGGTTAAATTTAATAAATGATCTATTAACTATAAGGCTTATATCAATTTAATTTAAAAACAATTTTTCCGCCCAAAGTGATTAATAAACCATCAATTCCATATCAAAACGGTCTATTTGACTACCATCCATTAACTAGACCAATAGATGTCCAAGTTAGTTGCTAACATGGCACCACCTAATTCGTCGCATACATTACAAATGGCCAGAAAAAGTTTATTTAATATATGAACCTTTTAACCATTTCTAATGTGAACCCTTTGTTGGCCGAATTTCTAATAGAACTCTTAGATTAATATTTTTAATAATTATATTCTTCCAAAACAAATTTAATTAAATGAGCATCCAATACATAATTTATCAAAATAATAAATGCTTTGTCAATCCAATCAAGAGATTTGATAAAAATAAGAAAAAATCTTTTTAAAATTTTCTAATTGAGGGTATGAACTTTTTTTTTGTAACTAATCAAGGTTGTAACCTTTCAAAAATTTCTAATCAAGGGTATAATCTTTGTAATTTTGCTAACAAAGAATTAAGTGGATGTGCATGCTGATTTAGTCACCATCATTTAATAAAAATAAAGGCAAACCAAGGATTAAGCAAAATCTGTTAGCCACGTCAGCATGCACATTCGCTTAATTCTTTGTTAGTAAAATTGCAAGAGTCATATCCTTGATTAAAAACTTTTGAAGGGTGGTTACTTTAATTAGTTACGAAACGAGATCATACCCTTAATTAGAAAATTATAGAAAGGTTATATCCTTACTTTTATTAAATCTCAATTAATTAAGCTTTTTTTCTAGTATTTTCTCCTTAATTGTTATATATATATATAAAAAAAAAGTTGGCTCAAATTTTATTAACCACCAACTTAAAATTGTATTATGTTATTTGTATTTAAAATAAAATTAACTTCTGTATTTTTTATACAAGTTAATGAAGAAAATGTGCAATTTAACAATGAAATTAATTTTTTAGGAAATAATAAAATTTAAATTATAATTTTGATTAATGTAAATTAAGATTAGAATAATCTTGATTAATGTAAATTGATATTATATTCTTAATTAATTACTACATTTGACAAAAAATTTAATATTTATAGTATTTACATCTTTGAAATTTACAAAAAAAAAAAGAAGCTTTTTTCATATCGATTTATAAGAAAAAAGAAAATAAAATTATTTAAATATTGCACTATTATTAAATTTAGCCTTTTACTATTAAATCATTCTAAAATTTAACCTTAAAAAGTGATCTAACTATCGTTATTTAATCTTTAATTTATTTTTTATTGAACATTGAGATTTTAGCCAAAAAGGGGAAATCTTTATAACAATGTCGCTATAGTGAGTAGAAAGTAGAAACTGCCAAATGCCACTAGTGAATAGAACAAGGGAAAGGAGGGAGGCATGTTTGGTTTGAGAATACACCATTTCTCTATTTAGTTAAAAAGAAATTAAAATAAAAAAATTATTTAATTTTTAATTTTCTACTTTCTAAATAAGGAAAGGGTTCTTTCCATTTCCTCAAACAACACATTTCCTTATTATTGATAGAGAAGAAAATGGTTTTAGTTTGTTACCTTAAAAAGAAAAAAGAGGAAAATCTTTTTTAAAAAAATGTTTATTATTTAAAAATTGACTTTAATTTTATTAATTTTTTAATTAAAATGTTCTGCACGACATTAATATTGAAAATAAAATTTACTTTTTTAGTTTTCTATACAAATTATAATAATGAGTGTAATTATCATAACACATTTTATCTTAAATAAAGATAATTTTCTTTCATTCTTTAACACATTTTATATTATGTAATTCAAATTTAAAATTTTTTATTTCTATTAAAAAAATTACTACTAAATTACACATTAACATCATAAGTTTTGAATTATGTAATTATCATAATTTGACAATCAAACCCTAAACCCCAAATATGTCCCATAAATAAGGAAGAGACAAATTCACTCCTAAAAAGGTGAAAACAAATTATATTTTTAAATTGTTAATTAAGATAAATAATTTATTATTTAATTATTAATATTATCATACATCAAAAATTAATTTACCATTTAAGTTTATTTTTAACTTAACATATAATGATATCAACAATTAAATAATAAATAATTTATTTCCATTAATGAGTTAAAAGAATAATTTATTTATTTTTAAAGAGTCGATCTGTCCTGTCCCTCACCCTATTTGGGACAGCCTTGAGGGTTTGGCTTAATTTGACCAATTTTTAATGATATTCTTCCATTTCCAGATATATACTACTATAATTGGTCAAAAGGTGTTTTCACCCGTGAACTCATCAATTGTGCATGATTCCCCCCTTGAACCATCAATTTTTTTTTTTCTGTTTTTACGTTTTTGTTTTTTATTTTTTCGGAAAATCCACAATTCAACTACTAGACCCTGTAAAATTGACCCTTTAATGTAAGAGTTTTGAATAATTTTTTTATATTATTTTTTTATATAATTTGACATATTATTCAAATAATTAATTTTTTTTATTTATATAAGACCTATAATATTAAATATATCTATTTATTTAATAATATATAAAAATTATATCAAAAAATAACATAAAAATATTATCCTTATAATTTCACCCTTTCCGTGACATTATGTCAATTTTCCATCCAAATACAAGTCATAGACCTAGTGCCACGTGACCCCAAATGTTTACATGGACTTGAAATTGCTTAGTTGGGCTTAAAATAGATAAAAAAAAAAAATTAAATGATAATTTTTTATATAATTTTTTTACTATAATTATATATATTATTTAATAATTAATTTTTTTACTTTTCCTCAAAAAAAATAATTTTTTTACTTTACCTCAAAAAAAAATAATCTTTTTACTTTATTAAAATTCATAAATTTTATATGTAAAGTTGAACTTTATTTATTTTTATCAAATTCTAAATAAGTTTTTTTAAAAAACTTAATATAATAGAATGTGACATTGTCACAGTAAAGATATTGACAGTGTTATTAATTAGATTTGCAATAACATTTGATTAATGGTATGATCGTAAAATCCTTTAAATAAAAGTGAATTATCTCAAATTATATTATTGAATTCTCTTAAATTATATTATTAAAAAGTTAATACTTTAACTCTTTTTTTTTATGTTAGATGCAAAACGAGAAACAATCCATTCTCATTTCTTATCATACTCTATCAGTATGTCATACGATTTGAATTCATTATTTTTTACTTTTAAAATAAAAAAATTATTACTAAATTATTTAGATAGTTAGTAATACTCTTAACTTTTTAAGTAAAGAATTAATAATTTTAAAATTTATAAATTAAAAGGCTAAATAAAAAGTGAAGCTTTGATCTCATTAAAGACGCTAAAATAATTTCTTAAAAAAAATTATAACATTTTAATTATTAGTACGGTTGGGCAATAATCACAAAGACATAATAAGGTGAAATCCAACGGTGTTAATCCAATTGCGATTTATAGGTCGCGCATTTCTCGATCCACAGAACTGTTGACTTTCTCCAAGAATCGAAAATGGAGAAGACGAAGATAGGAAGAAGATTCCAAGGGAAAGTTGCGATCGTTACGGCATCCACTCAAGGCATCGGCTTCGCCATCGCAGAGCGTCTCGGCTTGGAAGGAGCCTCCGTCGTGATTTCTTCTCGCAAGCAGGTTTCAATTTCATTCTCTTTTGTTTCCTTTTTTTTATTATTGTTTTTGAATGTATCAATTCAAGCTTCAATTTTTGTGGGTTTTGCTGAAATTTGCATGCTTGTGGTGATATAGCTTGAAGAAATGGAAGGAAAAACTGTGAAATTTGTATCTCAATGATCCTGGGTTTTCTTATAAGATGAAGATTTGATTCCATATTTCATATTTGTGACTCTTCAAGTGACAATTAAGTGGTTTTTTTTTTTTTTAGATGAAATTTATTGGGTTTTTAGATTTCCTTGTGTTCGAATTTGCCGTGGTTGCTGAGCATGAAATTTGATTATAAATTTACTTGATTTATGTTGTTTTGATTTTAGATTAACAAAAATTGTACATGGTTTTTGTAAGGGTGGTGAATGAATGTTTACATTTTGGTGAATTTGTTGTAGAGAAATGTTGATGAGGCAGTTGAAAAGCTCAAAGTTAAAGGAATTGAAGCATTGGGAGTGGTTTGTCATGTGTCAAATGCACAACAAAGGATGAATCTCATAAGCAAGACGGTTGAGGTTATACTACGCAAAATTTAAACAGATTTTTTCTTACTATGTCTCTTTCAATTTTTACATCCTCTGACTTATTGGTTTGCATTTCTTTTGAAAGAAATATAGATGCATCATCAGTTACTTGATTTAAGAATTTGCTTATTTGGTTTCAGAAATATGGAAAAATAGATGTAGTTGTGTCGAATGCTGCTGCCAATCCATCTGTGGATACCATTTTGCAAACTAAAGATTCTGTTCTTGACAAGCTGTGGGAAATTAATGTCAAAGCATCCATCCTTCTTTTACAGGTAACTTCTTTTTTTATCCTGCTAATCCTTATATGGGTCGCTTTTGCAGAAGCTGCATCTGTTAAATATGTTCGAGTTTGGAGGGTCATAAACTAGTTTTAATTTTGGCAGGATGCAGTGCCTTATTTACAGAAGGGTTCTTCAGTTGTTTTTATTTCGTCAATTGCTGGCTATCAACCACAGGCTTCCATGGCTATGTATGGGGTGACAAAGACAGCCCTTCTAGGACTTACTAAGGTTGGTATTCGATGCTTTGTGCTTTTAGCAATTGTTTCTGTATTGAAGACTCAACAATTTCAAACCCTTTTTAGGCACTTGCAGCTGAAATGGCTCCTGATACTCGTGTAAATTGTGTTGCTCCTGGCTTCGTGCCTACCCGCTTTGCCGAATTTATTACAAAAAATGATGATGTTGTAAGTCTTATTTCTGGCATTCAGTTATGTCTCTACTTTGAGTAAGTGTTATCCTATGTTATGGATTGAATTTTACAGAAATTCCTTTTGCAGAGAAAGGCCATTGAGGAGAAGACCTTACTTAACAAACTTGGCACCGCGGAAGACATGGCTGCTGCTGCTGCTTTCTTGGCTTCTGATGACGCTTCTTATATAACAGGAGAAACCCTCGTAGTGGCAGGGGGTATCCCTTCTAGACTCTAGCTTCCTCTGTCATCATTCTTCCCCACATTCCATCTACAAGTTGTCTTTATAGTTCAATTGGCCTTTGTATTCGATGTTCTTGTGTATCACACAAGTGCACAATTCTATCCTCTTGAGCAACACAGCATTTTTAAGTGAAGATCAATAAAATTCAGCAGGGCATGGATTCCATATTCAAATCAAACCATCGTGTTAAAATCTCTGCAGGATCTGTAAAGGTTTTATCTCTTCCCTCTCCTTTCATCTTTAGGACCCGATCAGTTCACAGTTTCTGGGGAACAACAATTTTCCCCATAAAGTGCAAGCCCTAGGCTTCTGCCCAGCACATGTATTTGAGTGAAATTGTTAGCAATTGAAGAACACATTACACTAATTGGCAAAAACCCTCACCTTGCCCTTCAACTTTTCAGGTATAAGGGATTTTACCCTTCATTTTACAATTTATGAGCTTTTACCCTTTAATTTTTTAAGTTTAGGATAATAAGGTAATAATTAACATTGCATCGTCAGCACATGACTGTTAGTCCTCCGTTACCCATGCCATGTCAGCACCACCTAAGTGCCATATAAGTGCCACGTCCACATGGATGCCTATTTTACATGTTGGCATTGCTAGTTTGGAAGACAAAAACTCAAGTTTTGCCCTTCACCTTATCGACCTTTTAAGGGTTTCTGTCTCTCAACTTACAATGTATGGATTTTTGCCCTTTTAGTTTATTGATTTAAGTAAATGAGGCAAAATTTAAAGTTTAATAGTCACACGTAACACATTGACTTTAAAGCTAGCTACCACATGGGATCATTTTTACACACTGACAATACCAACTTGGACTTACTCATCCATTTTTACCATGGACCCAATCACTCACAATTTTTTTAACCAAAAAACAATGAGACATTGTGAGACCCATCATATTTAAATAAATTATATTATTTTAAAATAATTATTAAAAATTTTAATTAACTTTATTATTAAATAATAATTTATTTTTAAATTGATTAATTTCAATTAAATTAATTAATTATTGTTTTCTCCCCCTACTTCAGTCATCCTCACCTCTAGCTTCCATTTCCATCAATTTGTCTAATTCAAAGAGCAAGTTCAAAATAGAAAGTTTGGCAGATGATTGGGTAGAACGCTTAACGTGAAGAAGAATGGTAGTTTTATTTTTTTATTAAAAAAATTGAGAATGCATTGAAGCCACATTGAAAATAGATGTGGGTCCAAGTTGGCATTCCCAGTGAGTAGAAATGATTCCATGTGGCGTTGATGTGTTATTGTGTGAAGCTCTAAAGCCGACATGTTACATGTGACCACTGAACATTAAATTTTGCCTCATTTGCTCAAATCATATGAGTTTGAGGGCAAAAATCCATACATTGTAACTTAAGAGGCAAAAACCCTCAAAGTTGATAAGGTAAAAGGCAAAACATGAGTTTTTGTCTTCCAAGCCAATAGTGTCAATGTGTTACATGGGTGCTCATGTTGTGCTAACATGGTTTGGGTAACTAAGGACTAACGGTCACATACTGCACTTGATCATGTGACAGTAAATGCCTTAACCATCTTAAACTTGAAAGATTGGAGGGCAAAAACTCATAAATTGTACGATAAGGGGTAAAATCCCTCATGCCCAAAAAGTTGAAGGGCAAAGTAGGGCCTTTTGCCTACACTTAATTTGATCCAACCAGGTTGAGAAGTATGAGAGAAAATTTACATATTATTAGAAGCATATAAACATAAGCTGGTTCATCACTATACCTCATCCGCAACTTATGTACAGCAAATCAAACCAAACCTCTGTATCTTCCGAACACAAAATATCTAGCTTCTCGTGGCATGAAATCCTCCTTCAGTGATGAATCAACCAGTGCCAGCCATATACTGATTTGCAACTACATTGTCATCGATATATTATGATCTTCAGCATTCCTGTTGGACATTTTTCCAGGACATTTACTTACACTTAATAACCGGGAAAGAGAGAAAGCTTAACAGGAAGCTCTCGGCGTGACATATCCAACATTGTTCACCGTTATAGTATTTCTTGTGACATCCAGTTGCAAACAAAATAAAGACGGAATGGAAGATAACTACACAGGGACAACATCACCATCCTGACTATCATCACATGTCAAAATAAGACCTTCAACATATGTTGGGAGGAGGCAGCGACTCCACAGACAACCTGTAGAGATGGGCTCTGATGATGGGACAATCATCAGGACATTATCATGGCGTCGAACGATCCCCATTACACTTACAGTGCTTCCTTCCTTAATATAACTGTCACAAGTCACAACATGACTGCTTTAGTGAGCGCAAATGTGAGAGTTTATAGGATATCAACAGTCCTCTTGGAGAATTTAAGTTATGAATCCATGAGATATTTTAGAAACATGCAAATACACAGCTTATAGAACAAATTAATAAGAGATCAGAAACAGACACATAGTGACATACCCTTCTTTTAGACGCATTACACGGTCATCACTGGAAAGGCTGTGCTCAGCTAGCCAGCGTAGAAAGCTAGGAGATAAGTCTCGGTTTTCTTTTGTCACATTAACCACAGTAGCTGGTCTGACAAATGGAGCAACCTTAGCCCCATACCCCGCTTTAACTAATGCTCTTAAACCAGATTGGAAATCTGATATGTAAAAATCAGCAACATATTTCTGTTCATGCCAGGCAAAAAGTTAACCTCAGACATTTTTTTGACATATTACTACATAGACATTGTTATAACAGAAATGCCAAATTCTAATATTGTTTCTAAACCAAAATTGGAAAGTTGATGGTAAACAACCATCCACCATTCTTAAAAGCATTACTGTCTTCACAGTTAGGAGACATCCAGGACATCCAGGACTAACAATTTGGACATCCCAGATTAAATCATTGAGACAGGGTAGAGGAGATTGAGGAGGGGTATCTGCATTTGCGTAGTTCATAGTCTCTATGCTACCACATAATGGATTAATATATGTAATTTGATAACTAACCTCTGAATGCCTACATCCCCAGGAGAAGCAACGATGCTTAGGATTTGCAGACTTTCCTCCCCATCCTTTATACTCATACAATTCTGTGGAAACATATACACATCTTGGCACCCTCTGGTAAGAGGACTCTAAAGGAATGCTGCCACAAGTAACAACCTACAAGAGGAGCTACAATTCATTGCTCCAAACAAACTAACAAATATAGAAGAACAAAGGAACAATCGAACTACTAAGAAAGTATGAAGCTGATATGCTGTCATTAGGTATGGTCAATATTTCCTTTCTGAAGTACGTTAACTACAATCAGCTCAATCACAATAGATGAAAAGATCCACAAGCAGCCAGCCAACTATTTACAGTACATATAGTGAGATGTCAATTTAGAATTAAAACTAGAACTAGACTAGCAAAATGATAAAAACGAATTTTCAGTTCAAACCATAAAATTCATAAGAAATGGGCTTACTGGTACTGATCAAAATCAACCAAAATCTACAAATAGGAAGCCAAAGTTTAAAGGCCCCACTATAACCTCCGTCCATCCACCCAAAAAGCTTCGATTACCTTTCTCTTTGTATGCACTACATTAGAAAGCTTCCCTAAATATTGCCCCTTAGTCCTCAAAAGAAACAAAGTTTGGCCTTGGTGTAACCCAGAACATGCCATACAGAAACCACAATCTATTTTGCTGACTTTCCTTCCACAACAACATCATTCACTCGAAAGTTCAACCAGAACTTCCACTAAGCAAAATACACCATCCAAACCCCCACTCAACACCCAGACCTAAAGCCCATTCACACTGACTTATCCCATTAAGGAAAATACAATATCTAAATCCCTCCCTGCGGATTTCCATGTACAAAACATACTTATAATATTAAGCACTTCTTAAAAAGTTAAGCAACAGATGTCATTACAAAGTATCTAATTATGTATGCTTAATATCTTAAAGCAGTCTTAAACTTCCATAAACAAAATTATTACCCCAGTGACTTTGATGTACTGCCCGTCAATGGCACCTCTAAGTTCAGCATCAGGGTAGCGCTTGACGTACCCCAACAACCCTCTCCTCCCCCAAACACAATTCCACACCAACCCCACCATCATGGGTCCCAGTACCGCCGCCACCACTACAAGAACCAGCATCTTCTTCACCGCTACCACCAAGAACGCCCCCACTAATAACCCTATCAAAACCACCACCATCACTGCCCATACTACCACCTTCGACACCTTGAACCCCACCCTGACATCATCCTCGAGACTCGTCACAGCCGGTCCATACCCGACCTTACTTGGCACTGGACCAGCTTGCTCCGCCTGACCCAGCTGTCCCGACCTCCTCGGACCGGAACTCAGGGGACCGGAGGTGATGAGTCCGGTTGGCTGGAGCGGCATGGGCCCAGAGGACTTCCTGATCGACCCAGAATTAGGCCCGGATCGTACTGATCCACTACTGGGCTGAGAAGAAGCAGAGGCGCGCGACGGTTGCGGTAGTTGCTTGGAGTTGGGATTGGAAGTAGGGCCGTCGAGCACCGGGATGTCAAACATTTTACCTAGCTCCCCGGATTTCTTTACATCACCACCGGTATACGGCACTGCTCGTGACGACATTACCGGAAGCCTCTCCTTCAGCTGTTCCGGCATCCCCGATACGAACAACCCATTACTCAGCTGGTGAGCCTGAGTCCGACTGGCCATCGTCTCTTCCCTTCTGTTTTGCCGGCGAGTAGAAAGGTAGAGTTTTTCAGAGAGAAACGCAGTGAGAAAAATGGAGAGTGTTAGTGAGGGAGGAAGATGAGTGGAGTTAGAGTGGAGGTTGTGAAATCACCAAAACGGGGCTAGAGGAATTTTGTATGACGCGTGGTGGCTCCCTCCCTGTCCCTACATGGCGGTGCACTGTTTGTCGTTTCGACAATCCTATGGGTACATTATATATATATATAGAGAAATATTTAGATATTTGATCAGTGTTTATTTATTTTATTTTTCTAAGATTAAGAAAAAAATTATTTTAAATTATGTAATTTTAATAAAATATTATTAAAAAAACCCTTTAATTTATGCTTTAAAAATAATATTTTTTTAATTTTTTAATAAAATTTATTAAAATAACATAATTTTTAAATAATTTTTTTAAATTTTTAATTGGTAGGACGAATAAACACTATTGCCTTAAGATATTTATGTTTTATCAACCGGAATGTT